TGAGTGGGAATTGAACCCTGGCCTCCAGGGTCACTGGGCAACACTCAAACCACTACATCACAGTGGTATAATTGTATAGTGTGAAAGGGTCCACTGTTGAACTCCTAATATTTCGCTGTAAACTGCTGCGCTGTAAAATCCACTCATTGATTTTGGTAATACCATCTGAAGCAACAGAGAACGAATCTGCTCCATCTTCTGTGTGAGAGTCCTTCAGACAGTTGAAGACACTTGTCTTCCCTCCAGAGCTTGGAAACATTTCTTTTTTGGATCACAGCTTCCAGTATCTTTCAGTCAACAACATCCTTTGTAGAAATAATACTGATTCCCTAAATCTTTTCAAGTAATATTCTGGAGGTCTGAATGGACCATAACCATAAATGTTGCATGCTTTCCTGCCAACTCCGAGCTTGGGAAAGCTACTTTTTAGGACTACCTCTTCCAACATCCTGCTGGAAGACTTTGGGAGTTGTAGTCCAAAAAATAACCGTTCCTTTGCAATAATCAGCATCACTTATCTAAGATGTTGCCTCATGTTCCGAATATAGGGAATGACTTTTCATGACCACAGTTTGACTCCATGTGTTTGATGTAAATAGTTGGTCAGCCTTGGGCTTTTGAACTTAAAATAGTGCTTCATGTACCTAAGGTATATTTGGGGGACTGAGAATAGAGAGGTCATTATTTTTTCTCTCTGTGATTTTCCTCTCTGTAGTTTCTCGACATTGCTTTTGCTTTCTCATTGTCATCCAGCAGGGTTGACTAAATGTCATGCCAATGACTCTCGCCAATAGGCATTGCTCAATTTGCGCTACATTAAATATAGTAACAAATGACCAGTGGCTAAATGCAAAGGGCCCTGCAATTAATATGAAATCTGGAGCGGTGTCACAATGGGAGAGCTTTGTGGCTGATTCTTAGTACAATTCAGGTAACTAGAAGGTTAGTTATGAAAGTACAGGATCTCAGGAAGAGTGCAAATTTAAGTTTACTGTACCTAACCACCTCCATCCTATGCCCCTGAAAGTCTTACGTTTCCATTCACACACCCATGGCATTTCTCTTTTCTCTGCCTCAATAATTTCCTCTGACAAGATGGAAATGTCAAGACATTTAAAGCTCATTTTCCCATGTAGACAGGGTACAGACAATGCACAAACCCGTGGCTATCATATGCCAAATTCAAAACAGAATTTGGCCCAGATCTGTGGAGAGTGCTGAGTGGACATCATAAAAGAACAGCGGTCTCGATCCATGATGTGTTTACCTAATGAATCTATCTAGTCCTCTAAGCCAGCTCCACAGTTCTCACAAAGGGGTTTCCAAGGTCAATGGCCAGAAGTCTGTATCAGCTACTTTACATATACTTAACTAAGGGGAGAAGCAGACTACCCCTTTGCACCGGCTTGGAGACGGCTTCTGAGCGCGGCATTTAGACGCCACACACTTTGACACTGCCCCCAAGCCAGCATCACACTGCCTGTCCGACCACATGGCGGGCAGCATTTTGGTGCTCTAGTGGCATGGCATTTAGACACCTCGCATCGCAGGAGTGCTGAAAACCTATGGTGGCAGGGGAAAATTTTGCTACTTCATTTTGCACCAGAAAAAAAGCTGGAGTGGCACCATGGCATGAAGTTTCATGGTGCCCACCTGGCTTTTTCAGGGGAGACATGACGCTGCCCCTTCGTGGTGGTCTGCTTCACCTCTTAGTAAGTACAGTTCAAAGACATAACTGTGTTAGTCTGGAAAATCAGTCGCAAAGGGATCTTGTAGTGCCTTTGAGACTAAGTGAAAGAAAAAAGTTGGTAGCATGAGCTTTCACAGACTTGAGCCTACTTCGTCAGATGTATAGGGTAAGTATAGTATAGTTAAGTATACTGTAGTTAACTAGGTAATCTGTCCTAGGGTGCATCTACATTGAAGAAATAATGCACTTTGACACTGCTTTAACTGTCATGGCTCGATCCTACAGAATCCTGGAACTTGGAGTTTTGTGTAGCACCAGCACTCTTTGGCAGAGAAGGCTAAAGACTCTGCAATACTACAAATTCCAGGATTCTATAGGATGGAACTATAGCACTTAAAGTGGTGTCAAACTGACTTATTTCCACAAACCTGATGGAAACTTCATTCATTTATGCACTGATCGTTGGCAAAATGGACCTCTTTTTCCCCCAGGCAGCCTGGTAAACCCTGGCAATAGTGTCACAACTATGACTTAGGCTGCATCTGCATTGGAGAAATAATCCAGTCTGACACCACTTTAACCACCATGGCTCAAGGCTATGGAATTCTAGGAACTGGAGTTTTGTGAGACCTTTAGCCTTCTCTGTCAGAGAGATCTGGTGTCACAACATGTCACAGCTACCATAATTCCATAGCATTGAGCCATGGCAATTAAAGTGGTGTACAATTGGATTATTTCTGGATGCTGTCCAGGTAGCCAGAATAGGTCTTTTTTGAAAGAGAAGGTGAACAGAAAGTGACTTCCATATGAGTGTGTGTGTGTGTATGTGTATGTGTGTGTGTAGTCCCCAGGTTCTCCTGCTAGCCTTCTACAGTAGCCCAGGCAACTTGTCTTGGTCCCAGCTTCTCCAAATGATATGAGTTAAGACACCGTTTGGCTCTGTTTTCCCCTCAGTTCACTCCATGATCTTGGCTCAGTGAAGTTAGCCAAGATCAACCTCCTGAGCTGACACATACAATCAAGTCTAGAAAGCCAGATAAATATAGTACAATCCCCTCCACCTGCGGCAGTGAATGGTGTCAATTGTCCGGCTCATTTTGTTGTTCTTTCTGCAAAATCAAGAACGGTTGTTCTCAATGCCTTTTTGAGACCCGTTTTGTTTTTTGCCAAAAGAAACTCTGCAAGGCACTAGAATCAAAGAAGGTGGCATGTGTCTGCTGGTTTTCTTTTCCAGCCTTAACACGTTTATGCATCTAGCTACAAAAACAAGAAAACTACATAAGAGTGTGGCCAAGATAAGGGTGAG